CATGTGGATCACCTCTGGGGCTGGGGATCAAACTCACACTAAAGTGGCTGCAGTTCGCTTGCAGCGCTGCTGCTTTGACTTGTTGCACTGCCAGGGAGGGTCCATGGCTGTGTTTCTATTTCTCTTGGGTATATACCTATTGAAACTGCTTGGTCAGATGGTAACTGTGTTTAAATATTGGAATAACTGCCAAGCTATTTTCTAAAGTAAATACATAATTTTACATTCTCACCAGCAGTGTATGAGGTTCTAATGTCTCATATCCTCACCAACAATTCTTAAATAATGCCTCTGTGGTGTAACTCAGTGTGGTTGGTTTTGATTTGCATTTCCTTGATGGCTAATGATATCAAGCGTCCTACTGACTGTTTGTAGACCTGCTTTGGAAAAAATAGCAGTTCAGAGCCTCACCTATTTTTTAGTTTGGTCATTTATCTTTTTATTGAGCTTCTTGTAAGGGTCCTTTCTATATTCTAGAAATAGACAGTATTTGCTACCATTCTGTGGGATATATTAATAACGTTTCACTTTCTTGATTTTTTTTGCAGCACAAAAGCTGTCAATTGGTGATGTATAGCTTTTTGTTTGTTATTTGTGCTTCGGTGTCACATGTACAAAATCATTACCTAATCCAAGGTCATGAAGGTTTGTGCCTGTATGTTCTCGTAAGAGTTTCACACATCTGACTACATTTATGGTGGCATCCAGCTTCTTTCTTTTGCTTGTGTTTTTCCAGCAGTATTTATTGAAAGACTTTTCTTTCTCCTTTGAATTATCTTTGGCACCATCGTCAAAAAAGAAATTGATCGGAAATGTGAGGTTTTATTTCTGGACTCTGAATTCTATTCCATTGATCTGTTTGTTACTATTCTACTTTCTTTTAAGAACTTTAAAGAGGATGTTGATAAAAGTGTGCATTCCTGAATCACTGCTTTATAACCTCTGGTCATGGTTTCCTATATTTGCTTTGTCTCCAGTAACTTCTCTCATTTTCTTCTCTGTCACATTGGTGTTCAGTACCATCTGGAAAGGTTATAATTAATGTTAATGCATTGGGAGAACAATATTCCCATTTTTCAGAAACTGCTTTAAGCACAGATAGGAAGTATCCTCACTTAGCAATAACATAGAATAAGGAAAATAAAATAAGCTTATGACTCAAAGCTTTTCTTACCTTCTTTAGACTTGAGATACAGTCCTCAGTATGTTAAACTAATGGTTATGACTTTCTTTGAGAAAGTAAATATCTCAAAGCCATCAAAATTAGTCTTTATGGTTATCCTTCTTTAATAGAGTTCCTGACTTAGAGGTAGAAGAAGAAACTCAAGTTCAAGAGATGACCCTTGATGAGTGGAAAAATCTGCAAGAACAGACCAGACCAAAGCCTGAGTTTAACATCCGGAAACCTGAGTCCACTGTACCTTCCAAAGCAGTGGTGATACACAAGTCCAAATATAGAGATGATGTAAGCATGTTTTGTGTCTAGAGGTAATATACACTGTTACTTTATTGGAAACAAAATGGGCCTTTCCACTTCTATTTTGAAAATGGAACATTAGTAGTATGGGAAGCCCAAGGAGATTACAACTGAGATGGAAAAATGCACAAAATGATGTAAAAATAAACTTTTTTTTTTTTTAAATGTAGCAGTCTGTATCACAAATGATGGACCAGAAATAGCCTGGGAAAAATCTAAACCCAGTAGGACTAGGTAATTTACATGAAGAATTTAAAGCAATAGTCCTAACTATAATTCTTGAAATAAGAAAAAGAATCGGAAAAAAAGAACATAACCATCAGACTCTAGGGAAAAACCACTGCTTTGAGGTTTTTCCTATCGTCAGGTTGGTATTTTAAAGTCACTTTGCAAAATGTACTTGGATGCTTTATGCTCTCTTGACTTTGCTTATTATTAATCTGTAATCTAGGACTGTAAATCACATTTGCCTTTCAGTGAAGGTATGGACTTGCTTTCTTCCTCACTCTCCATCAAATGTTTTTGTTTCTTTCAGAGAACCTTATTAAAATCTAAGCATTACACAGTTCAGCTATTTAATTGTATCATTCAATAGTTTGGGGGATGATACATTATTAATTTTTTTCAAATTATAGTAAAGTATATATAACATAAAAATTGCCATTTTAAAACACCTTTAAGTTTACAGTTTAGTGTCATTAATTTTATTCACATTATGTAACTTTTCAGAACTTTTTCATCACTAACAAAACCTCTACCTGTAAAACAATAACTCTTTTCCCTTTAGAACCCAGTAATCTCTGTTCTACTTTGTTTTAGTGAATTTGCCTATTTTAGTTTTCACTGCATTCTTAGAAGGAAATTAATATATTTGTCCTTTTGTGTCTGACTTATTTCACTTTAGTATATAATCTTTCTAGATTCATCCATGCCATGGGTTGTAGCAGTTCTTCATTTATTTTTTGTGCATTTTCAGTGGTAAAATACATATAAAATTTACAGTTTTATAAAGTGTGCTTCAGTGACTTTCAGTGTATTCACAGTGTTCTACATCACCTTTATCCAATCCAAAACATTTCCACATTAGTAGTCACTCCCTATCCCACTCTCTTGGCAACTGACAACTAGTGATCTTCTATCTCTGTGAATTTCTCTCTTCTGGATAGTTCATGAAAATGGAATCATACATAAGCTTTTTTGTGCCTGGTTTATTTCACTTAGCAGAATATTTTCAAGGTTTGTATTGAGATTTTTATCAGTACTTTATTTCTTACTATTAATATATACCATCTTTTGTTTCCATTTTTTGAGTATTATTGGTGATTTATACCGTTCTTATTAAGTTTTTACATGGCTTTTTTTTTTAAGATTTATTTATTTATGCATACAGAACTGGAGTACAAGCCAGAGGTGCAGGGGCAATGAGAGGATTCACCAGAGACAGAGTAGGGAGCAGGATAGGCAGAT